TGAGCTTGAGGATGAGAGTGTTGAGGGAGGGCGGAGGGCCCTCTCCCTTCCTCCCTCCCTCTCCCTCCACCCCTCTCCCCTCATTTCTCTCCCTCACTCCCTCTCCCTCCCTCCCTCTCCCTCCACCCCTCTCCCTCTTCCCCTCCTCGCCCTCCAGCCCTCCTCCTCCTCTGCCCCCACCCAGCGCCAGCGGCGCCAGCCAGCCCGCTCCCCCGCCCCCGCCCCCACCAGGAACTTGGAGTCAGCAAAGATCTCCTCCACGTGGCACGCCTCCACGCTGGCCAGCGCACGCCCGGTCAGCTCCGCCTCGCGCGCCGCGATCTGCAGGCAGGGCGAATGATCGGGGAGCAGGTGAAGTGAGGGGGGCAGCGGGCCCGGGTGGACTGGCAAAGCAGGGGGGCACAGCAGGCGGCACGCCCGCAAGGGGCAGGCCATGAGCAGGCCATGCCGCGCCAGGCCGACGGCACGCCGCCAGCTGGCGCCTGCGCCGGCCGGCCGCGGGCAGCGGGAAGCGCTGCGCGGCGGCGGCAGCTGGCGGCGGCGGCATGCCTGCTCAGCGGAGGCGCCGTCTGAGCCCTCTATTGAGATGAGGGAGGTGAAGGCGCGGGAGAAGAGGGAGCCCGAGGAGCCGCGGGACTTGGAGATGGAGGCGGGGCGAGGCAGGCGCAGGCGAGCCTCCTCGGGGTCTTCGCCGTCGCCTGGAAGGGCGCGGGTGGGGTGTGTGAGTGTGAGTGTGTGAGGGCACGGGTCGGGCAGCCAGCCAGCTGGGCGGGTTGGCCGGCATATTGCCACTGCCGGGCAGTGCCGCTGCAGGCATCGCCCCTGCCAGGTATACAATGACGCTGGCAAGGGCTCACCCGCAATCACCGCCGCGGGCAGCAGGTCCAGGCGGTGCAGGCGCAGCACGGCGTCCATGACGTTGCGCCACCCAGACCGCAGCCAGTCGCCATACCTGCGGGGCGCGGCGGGGAGCCAGGGGGGTGTCAGAGCAGGGGTCAGGACAGGAGCAGGGAA